CCTCGTAACGAGCGACGCGATTCCTGAGCTCCGTCGAGCGTGTAATTGCGCGAAAAGGGAGACGGCTCCCGGAGACAAGGGAACGAGTGCCAAGGAAAATACGTCAAAGCTAGAGCTTCGCGGGGATCGCGTCGTTTTCGCTGCCTTATTCCTCGCTGCAACAATAACGACGATAATAATGCATCTTTATTACACACTCGATCATTAGACAGAGAAGCGAAGGGAACCCCGGTGGGACGCGGGACGCGGTCGGTTTAAATTGGATGCTCGAATGTGACGTGGAATTATTTCCTTTCGGGACAACCAAGTTCCTCTCGAGATTATTGCATCGAGTAACATCTTTCATAAATTCATCGAAACGACCGGTTATCCACGATGTAACATCATTAGGCTATTTATTCCCGGAAGCTGTTAATTCGAGGGTGTTTCAATCCCAATACGCGCAAGTGGGAAGGTCTACTTTCTTAATCCTGCACGCGCCAAAAGTACTTTGAAGTGGCAACTCTCGTTAAACCGTGGCCACGAGTCGAAAATACTTGGATTTCGTTTGCGACTTAATTGAATTCCGAGCGCGGCGAAGGTTTAATATAAGTAGGTCCCCAGGAATACGAATTTCTCACTGGAAACTCAAATCAAAACGTTCGGGCATTCGATTCGTGACAAACCTGTCCCAATACCGTTACAAACAATTCACCTCACGCATCCTTCATACCCACAAACGATCCGAAGAATTACGGAATGACGTCCCGACTCATTTTTCCATGACCGCGGTGAAACTACTCGAAAACGAATGCAATGGGAGAACGCCGGTGCATTGCGGCCAGCGGTAATGAATTACAACGGTAGTACGCACCGCGGGTAAACGAGCATCGGCGTTTCGCCGCGTTACAACGACGCGGGAACGGAAAGTTCGAGCACTCGTCTATTTACCGCTTCGTTTGACCCGCGGTCGGATAATTTCCATCGATTCCGCGGCGACGCGGCGCGCGTTCGCGTCACGGTGGAAGAACGGCGAGAGAAAGAGGGGGTCGGAGTGAGGCTTTCCGATCGTCGGAAACATCGAACGGGTTCGCGGGCCAATAAAGAGAGAGCCGGTGGGCCGAGTCGGACGTCCGAGGAGTCGTTATCTTATCCTGGCGCAGCTGTCCGAGCAGGTAGGCAGTTAGCTCGTATCTGCCGTCACGCCACGAGACTAAATTCCCCCTTACGTACTTATCGCGAATTAAACCGCTCCTCCAAAGGAGGCCGGAGACACGGAAAGGTAACGACCGTCGGGCATTATCGCGTACGGATGAGTTTCACGCGACCGCGCAACCGTCACTCGACATTAACGTTTCCATTATAGGTGAACGACTCGCTCGGCTCGCCTCCCGCCGGTCTCCCGCTCTTTGTTTTCCGCAAGCGACAGATCCGTAATGATACGCGCCGGCCACTGGTCGCGTTATTACCGGCGAAACTTTAGTTATTTGTTGAGTTGCCATGGTTTTTCCGGTGCCGGCCGAATCATTGGGGAACGAGATTCATGCAGTTAGACCTGATTAGCTTGTTCGGGAGTTCTGTGATAGAGAGACTTTGCTTTCGTTCGACGTAGGCCATTATTCTGGGATTATCGGCGGTTATGATGCTTGCGAAAGTTTCGTTTGATGATTGGAAAGGATGTGGTTTCAGTAGGGAGTAGATACTTGGAACGAAAATGTCGAAGGGTTATCGCTTAGCTTCGAGTGAAGTGTTAATCGCGCGATTGTCAATGGAAATTTGTTATGGTTTGATTTTCTACCATGAAAGTGTTTGTAGACATATGAACCTTGATATTGGATTTTAGTGAATTGATAATGTATTTGTACTAAACGTCTGCAGTGGAGAGTGAAAACTGACAAAAGTTGAGTTCCCGAGCCGGTTCAGCGACTATTTTTGGCCACTGCGAAGTGGCACTCGTACACATTACAGTCGCCGCGTTTCCCTTTGAAATGTATGAACACGTTTCACTTTGATTCCACTCTCGGCCGTCCATTTCACCGTTTCATTTATTTTAATTGGCAAGATCATTCTACGGGAAACGTAGCGTACAATCATCTCGCGTGACGCTTCATTACCAAAACAATCCCATCGGAACGTTCGCGGCATCGGCTGGAATCGACGTGTCCGTTCATGGCTGGCCATTTCTACTGGCGCCGAGCATCTCAACCCTTCAAAGCTCCGTATCTCGAAAACAAAGTGTCCAAGGAAAAAACGTCATCACACATTTTCGACTCCTCTTTCGACACAGTTTCAGCCCATCCCACGGAATTCCAGAAGACACTGTCTATTTTCTGTCCACGCAGCGTTTTCCTGGGAATAACCTCGGAATCTTCCTAGTTATCCCACGTTCAACGATCGCTCAAGCGTTTCTCGTTTATCTGTGCAGCAGACATCGAGTCCCAGCGCAACCCGGACAACATCCACGATCCTCGCGAACGTGGCGTGCACATTCCAATCGCAGGCGGCTGTCGCGGCTCGCGTAAAACGACGATAAACCGTTGCGCGGCGGAGTAATGGGATCGAAACGATAGATAGGGGCCAGCTATCCTCGAGACGTTGCCAGGGCTGTGTAGCGAACGATCCTCGAAACTGCCTACGTGAGCGTGCGTGCGTACGTACTTTATTTCACCCTATGTAGCCTCCGGTTGTCCTGTGTATTCGATGTATAATTAACCTGTTACAATAAGAAGCTTTGTAATAATAACCCTTTGCACTCGAGAGGCGCCTTTCAGTCGCCATTTGATTTGACCGAACGAAATGATAAAATTTCAAATTCAATATCAAATTTTCTATAATGTATCAGCACACGGAACATCAAAATAGTTCTGTCATTTAATTTACACAAGGTATTTCTTTGTGTTAGTTGCAGAAAATATCATTGATATTCCGTCGGAAAATAATGAATATTTGTTGAGAAAAATATTCTCGAGTAAAGGGTTAACCCTAGAACTACCAGATGGATCAATATCACCAGTTCCTAATATCTTTTTTTAGAAAATATTTACGGTACCTTTCTTTTTAGAATCTACAAAGGTACAGATATTTCTTTAACGCGTTGAATGTCATGGGGTCACCGGCGACCCCGATGAAATCGAATTACTATAGTTCACTCAATGAGACGACGATTACAGTGACATTCAGCTAGATGAACGTGGAATAGTAATAACGCAATTCGATCAAATGATTTAATATTATATTTCTTCCATTCGGCGTATTTTCCCATGTGAAATCGTGCGGCGTTCAACGTGTTAAGAAATAATTAAGGAAATTTAGTAATACCCAAACTGGAATATAAAATAATCCATAGTTTCCTATCAAAGTGCTTGGTAGTTCCAGTATGAAACACATTGAACTTGCGAAAAATAAAGCCTACTCTCAATACTTTCCGAATAGTAGCTTTAATACTTTTACAACCTAGAATATTACATTCATAAGTGGCTTTCGGGCGAGAGCCGTGTCCAATAGGAATTTGTCCCGACGTTTCGCCATCATTGGTCAACTATCCAATTAAAAACTACTGGTAACTACTGACGCGGAAGATGAAGCAGGTACCTATTTTAGACGGTTCGCCCTTTTGCGTGTCAATACTTGGGGGCCTGAGAGATAGTCCAGGCCCATTGACTAATTTATAACCAAGGGGACCACCAGGACCTGGGTCACGTACGCCTTCGTCTGAAGAGTTTTCCTTCTTAGAAAAGCGTTGAGGAAAAGCAGTTAGTCGCCGTTCCTCGTTAGAGCCACATCGCGTAATAAATATATTTAACCTGACTACGGACTTAGTTTTTATTTTAGTAGTCCTACACTATATAAAGATAGTTTTCCTAAACACGTTGACAAACGTTGGGAACAAATTCTTTGATAACCTAATAATTCACTCTGATACTTCATTAGCCTCCTCATAGTAAAATAAATATTTCTCTACTTCACGACGCAACAATAGCAACTGACTTTACCTAGATGCCAAATATAGTCACTAGTAGGCTTAACACATTGCGGACCAGCTAATTTTCAGAAAACTGAATTCTGATGGCAATTTTCACTGAGGTCAACTTATACCACTATACATAGAAAAACTCAGATATCACATTTTTGTGTAATATATTTTAAATAAATAATCGATTCGAATCAAATTTTATATTTCTTCAATACCGTGGTAATTAGCAAAGTTGCATAGCTTTCTTTCTATAAAAACGAGACTTCTCGTTACCGGTCCGCAATGTGTCCAACAGTAGAACCAACTTAACCCCTTGGCGTACTATTTACTTTCGCCACTATGCTCACGTACCACTTTACTATCGATAATTTGGAAGAAATGCAACAAAATTGTCCATTCTACTAGTGGAAATTTTATTTGAAGATAATACAATGATAGCGAAATAGTTTGCTTTGATCTGTGGGTAATGAATAATATCGATTGTTGTTAAATTAGTCTAGAAATCTTCATCGCGAGTCTAACTCGTCATGGGTTAACCCAGTATACATCCTACAATATTTGAATTGAAGAACATCCTT